CTCCAGAAAGACCTCACGCTCACGGTCTCCTCCACCGTTACACAGTACCTCGGGCTCAACATCCGCGAAGAAGAAAACGCCATCTATCTAAGCGCCGAGAAATACGCCGACACCATCGCGAAACGCTTCAGCCTCACACCAAGCGCCATCTCCACGCCCTACCGCTACACATCAGGAACCGAGAAGGAATCAACTACTCTACTCAAGCCCGCCGGCATACGCGACTATCAGAAGAAGCTCGGATGCCTGCTATTCGCCGCCGTCACCTGCCGTCCTGACTTATCCTACTCCGCAAGTCAGCTCGCCACCTATCTCAAGAAGCCTGAAGCTGAACACCTGGCGGAACTTGATCGCGCTCTCCACTACTTCGTCAGCACCGCGACGATCGGGCTAACCTACCACAAGAGCGCAGCTACACCGACTAAGCTAATCGGCTACGTCGACGCCGATCACGCCGGCGACACCGACAACAGGCGCTCACGCACCGGCTATGTCTACCGCCTTGAGCCTATCGGTCCTATCTCCTGGCAGTCGAGCAAGCAGGAGTTAATCGCACTATCTTCAGCAGAAGCAGAATATATTGCACTCTGCTCAGCCACCAAGGAGGGACTTTACCTTCGCGAACTACTGGAAGAAGCGAAGCTAGCCGAGTTACCCAGCTTCACCGTGTTCTGCGACAACCAGTCAGCAATTCGCATCGCCAACAAAAACGGCTTCGCAAACAGGACGAAACACATCGCCCTGCGCTATTTCTTCGTGAAGGACGAGATAGAAAAAGGGAAACTCGATCTGTCATACTGTCCAACATCCGAGATGGCAGCCGATTACTTGACCAAGAAACTCGGCAAGCAGAAGTTCGAATACTGCATGATGCTGACTGGACAAGGCCACGTCACCAGCAGTAACACTCCAGAAGCGAAGGGGAGTGTTGGAAACAATAAGTCCTAAGTGCGCTTCTGTCGTATCAAAATCCAAGGTACCAAGCGAAGCAGTCCCAATCGAAGCATCGAGTCAACCTCGGAGGTTAGGGTAACCGCCTGGAGGTTACGAGAAAGTCAAAGGTCGCTGACCTTTGACTCGACAATTACAGCGCGACAGTTAAGGACACACAACTGACTCGTTACAGAGCAGTTGCCCGAGTCGCGCTACATCGAACCGCAACAGCAATACAGTTATCTATCTATTCCCTGTACTCTTATATAAATCCTTGTATTTGCTTGTTTAATTCAATCAACTTTGCTCTCACACACCAGTGCAAGGTCGGTTCAAATTCTTCACTAAACGCTTTCGCTATTACAACTACTTCACCTAGAGTTATCCCTTGCAAAGATCCTAAGGGGCTATCTCAGCCCAACACCCGAGACACCTTTCCTTCTCCACAGGAGGTGCAAATTTTCCTATCCATGGGAACAGAAAAGTGCGTGCGTGGCTGGATAATTATCCGGGTAAGTAACTTTGGAAGGGCTTACACTAGCGACCTTGTGCTCCGAGGGGGCCTACAGTGCAAGTAGAGGGCACTTTCCACCCCTCCGTGCCTCAGACAGGGAAGTTATAGAAACAGGACAGGGCAAATCCCCACATTCACCCACGTGTCAACAATTTCCATGCCACCTACTGTACTGGACATCTGACCACCTGTGCACAACAGATTTTTGTCCCCACTGCAGAATCGAATCCACAAACTGGGTGGCTCGGCTGCCACACTGTTCCGAAATCCGCTAGGCTACTGTTTCGCGCCCAGATTTTCGGAACGGCCATCAAGGCAGACGGAAACGAAAACGGAGTAGCTCTCCGTCAAATCTTTCGAGTGACTTCGTCTCAAGTTACGTGGGCTCCTTCAGAAATTAGGGTTTGCGACAAGTCACAATGCTAAACTCTGTCTTAACTTAACGCGTAGCTTCCCGCTAGCAATCTTAAATTAGCATAGGCGCCATGCGTTGTTCCCGAATCTGTGGCTGCACCATATCGAGCAGTAGGAGCATCACATTCTCTCGGATAATGTTACATTGGCTAGCGATCCAGGATATGCGTTCTTGTTCGTTTGATATGTGCACCCTTCATATATCTTCTCTGATCCTTGCGGTCGATGGTAAGTTTGCGACTGGCATAAACTGATTGTGCCCTATGACTTTTCTTCCGCACGATTAATCGCCAATGTTACAGACTCCATGCATTGGTCTGTACATAATGCTAAGCATTAGTCACCACACACGGGTCTTTCATCCACATTTTTGGAGTGCTGATTTTGAATATAATCCACCATTTTCATGTCGATCCTTCACGTGTTTCAATTTTGTTTTCTCCAGACTTTCGTCACTCGCAAACTATTGTGTAGACAGGGACCATGTGTGCACAATGTGTCAAGATAGTAGGTAATAGAGAGTAGAAACGTGGGGCCTAGGCTTAGTAGCCTAGGCCCTAACTTAGTATCGAGCGGGTTTTCCCCTAGGGTGAGAGTCGAGTGAGTTGAGAGGAAAATTGTGAAAAGGTGAGTTTCACTATAGGTTCAGGGGTACATATAGCATAGAAACACAATAAGGTGCACCACCAACAAAAGTTTACATAACTACACTAACTACAACTACAAGCAATTATAAAACATGACAAAATATTTCGACACGCCCCCATAATGCTTGTAGGTAGGTGTGTAGTTACAGCAACAGCAGGTACCCCTACCATCTCCTCACCCTCCTCCTTCCCCTCCCCAACACTGCTGCAGAAGCAGCAGAGAAAGGGGGGAAAGAGGAAAGGTGGAGGGACGGCTGCTTGTTGCCTCACCCCCGCCACCCCGGTACCACCCCCCCCCCTCACCCACATCCTCACACCCTCCTCCCCCAGCGGCAGCTGCAGCGGTGGGACTGAAAGAAGGAGGAGGGAAAGGGAGAGAGTTGACCCCACGCTCCAACACCCTCCACCCCCATACCCTCCTCCCCACGGCTGCAGGGAGACAAGAGAAAGGGGGGGGTGGGAAGGAAGAAAGCCGCAGAGCGGCGAAGAGGCGTCGGTGCAGATGGGTCAGGGACGGCAGCAGGGAGTGCAGGGGCGGAGAGGCCCGTCGCGGGCCAGTGCCACGGGGCGCACGACGGGTAGGATAAAAGGGCCCGATCGTGTGCCTCGGGGCGCACGACGAGCAGGGCACCATCGTGTGCCTCGGGGCGTACGATGGGCAGATAAAGGGCACCGTCGCGTGCCACGGGGCGCGCGACGGGCAGGATAGGAGTCACACGCCCGTGGGCGGGACAAGGTAAAACTAAAATCGTCACGCGCCCTAGGCGCGCGACCGGAAAATCTCAGCAGCGGAAGAGTAACGCGGGCCCACAGGCCAGGACGAAAACAGCTCTGATACCATGTCAAGATAGTAGGTAATAGAGAGTAGAAACGTGGGGCCTAGGCTTAGTAGCCTAGGCCCTAACTTAGTATCGAGCGGGTTTTCCCCTAGGGTGAGAGTCGAGTGAGTTGAGAGGAAAATTGTGAAAAGGTGAGTTTCACTATAGGTTCAGGGGTACATATAGCATAGAAACACAATAAGGTGCACCACCAACAAAAGTTTACATAACTACACTAACTACAACTACAAGCAATTATAAAACATGACAAAATATTTCGACACAATGTTCAGGAGTTCTCTTTCAAGGTGATCACACTGATTCACACATGCGATGGATAGGATATGTCTACACGTTCCCGTATTTCTGCACGTCCCTTGTTTGGGTTGCAACAAACTACTCACATATGATTCCATTACCTTTGCGGTCATGTGTTTTTTAAACAGGGCATTTCTTGGACAACAGACGGAGGAGATCAACATTTACCAAGGGAAAATTTATTCATCCGTAAGCGCTGCCAGAGATGAGATAGAGAAATATGGCGATAAGTTCAATTTCAAGCCCTGGTATAGGGACAACAGGCCAGAACGCCTTGACGTGTGTTGCCCTTCCATGAAAGGAAAAGACTGGCCCAAGAATGAGGCCAAAGCACCAGAGGGGTTTTGTCCCTTTCGGATTGTAGCTACCGGGCCTCGAAATCGCAACTTTAGTGTGAGATCAGTGACGCTGCAGCATGCACACACGTGTGTGCCACGCCCTGGTCGGATTAGGAGGGAACAGGTTAATCAAGTGGTGCGTGAAGTACGTGCTCATACAGTCATTAGACCTGTTGGACTACGAGAGATGGTGCGGGAAAAGTTAGGCGTTGACTGCTGCAATGCTACGTGTGGCCGATCAATAGATGATGTCACTCGAGAGGATCCTCTAGGTGGAGAGTCGGGTTTCCAGTACATTGGTAGCATCCTTGATGTTTTCAAGAGACATAACCCATCGAGCGTTGTGTCATTGTTGCTGAACGAGAATAGGTTCCATCGTGCTGCAGTGATTTACCCAGGAGTCCGTGAGGTAGTAAAAAATTGCTTTCCGATCGTATTTGTAGATGGATGTCACAACAAAGGTGTATGGCGAGGCCATACTCTGAATGCATGCATGATTGACTGCGAACATAAGCTGGTGAGGTTAGGGAGTGCATGGGTAGAAGGTGAGAGTGCGGATTCGTGTGAGTATTTTTTGAGCCAGCTGAAGGTAGCTGCCCCTGAGATCAACACTCCAAGGTTTACACTGATGCATGATCGCGGGAAAGCATGGAAAGCGGCTGCTGCCAGAGTGCTGCCAGGGGCGCGTGAGGCATTTTGCATCACACACTTGGTGAGGAATTTTAACTCAAAGTTTGGTTCAGACTGTGATGGCAAGATCGAGCTCGCGGCTGCAGCATTGACCAGAGATGTGCTGCGGGGCTACATGGACAAAATCGAGGAAGAGTGCCCTGGGGGGAAAGAATACTTGGAGAGGGATGGATTAGCCGCACATTGGGCTACCTTTCTGTTTGGTGCGTCACGTTTTGGGTGCTATACCTCAAACCCAGTGGAGTCGCATCATGCCTCTATGCACAAGTGGAGGAGGGACAATCCAGCACAAGTTTTGCTTGCATTCATAACACAGCAAGCGAATGCAATGGAAGAGGGTCGTAAGCTGTATGGGAATCTCGGGGTAGCTGATCTCCCCCCCATAACAGCAGGCATCCTTCGTGCTAATTGTCAAATGGGCACTCAGTACAAAGTGGAGAAGACTGGCAGAAGTTCATACCATGTGAGCCGTGACACTGGAGCCAAGGAGGAGCGTGTGGTGGTATTGGAGGTTGCAAAGCCAGAGGAGGCGCAGTGCACGTGTAATTACCAGAGGTGAGTTATGTGTTTGAGCTAAACCTTGAAACACAATAGGGAAACATTCTGCAGCTGGTGTTAGGGTTGTCGGAACATGCATACATTTTATTCTCCCTCAGGCAATCTCTTGATGTTCGTCATTTGATGGATCCTAACGTTCGTTTGACACCCATTTGATTTTCCCGTACACATGCAGAGAGTATGGGCTGCCATGCATGCACATGTATGCGGTACTGCTCCACATCATCAAGCCGGCACGTGGCAACGAGTATGCGGATGTCCAACCTGTGGTTCAAGCCATGATCCACAGGTGTTACACTTCAAACGCTTTGAAGGAGCTCTACAGCACGGAGATTCGCACTCTTGACCGCACTGAGCTCGTGCCAGATCAGACAACTGAGGCACCAATATACCCAAAAAAGTCGGGGAGGCCACGCAACAACCGGTTGAGGTCCCACGGTGAGATTGATGGGAGGAAGCTGCGTAGATGTGGGAAGTGTGGGGAGAAAGGGCACAATCGAAAGACTTGTGATTTGCGCAAACAAAGGAGAGACGTGTGGGAGGCACTTCACACTCCGGAAGGGCACATGAGTGTGCAAACAGCTACACAAGCAGAGGCTGAGGTGAATGTGGTGTTGTGTGGTGCATGCAATGTAAGGCACCACAGGGATGTACTGTGCGAGCCTAGGAGGCAACCTCGTGAACATGAGCAACCACAAACTGGGGTGGGGGTGGTGGACGGTAGCGCGACTCACGCGGGGGATGGTGGTGAGAATGAAGGTGTTGAGGTATCGGACGAGGAGGAGGACGGGAGTTCGGAGTCGGAGGGGGAGGGAGAAGAGCAGCCGGTAGATGCGGGTGCTGGTGTCCAACAGGCTGTCCCAACAGTACTCCGTGAAGTTTTTGGCGAGGCATTTAACGGGCTCAACACCTCAGGAACCAACAGAAACTTGCGCCCGGGGGGTGTGGGGTTATCAAATCCAACAGCGGCTGAGAGTGGGGGATGCGGGGAGAGCGGAAGAGTATCCGAGAGTGGAGGATTGGGGGAGTGGGAAGGAGGATACGCGAGCGGGGCAGAGAGGGGAGGAGCATCAGCGGGTGGGGAATGGAGGAGAGGAGCAGCCGAGAGTGGGGCGGGGAGGGCAGGAGCAGAGAGTGGGGCGGGGAGGGCAGGAGCAGAGAGTGGGGCATGGAGGGCAGGAGCAGAGAGTGGGGCATGGAGGGCAGGAGCAGAGAGTGGGGCATGGAGGGCAGGAGCAGCCGAGATCGGGACAGGGAGGGGAGCAGCCGAGATCGGGACAGGGAGGGGAGCAGCCGAGATCGGGACAGGGGGAGGAGCAGCCGGGAGCGGGGCAGGGAGGGGAGGAGCAGCAGGGAGCGGGGCAGGGAGGGGAGGAGTACCAGGGAGCGGGGGGGGAAGGGGAGGAGTAGCAGGGAGCGGGGGGGGGAAGGGGAGGAGTAGCAGGGAGCGGGGCAGGGAGGGGAGGAGTAGCAGGGAGCGGGGCAGGGAGGGAAGGAGCAGCAGGGAGCGGGGCAGGGAGGGGAGGAGTACCAGGGAGCGGGGGGGAGAGGGAAGTAGCAGTGAGCGGGGCGAGGAGGGCAGGAGCAACAGGGAGCAGGGCGGGGAGGGGAGGAGCATCAGGGAGTGGGGCAGGGAGGGGAGTCGAGAGTGCGGCAGGGAGGGGAGCTGCAGGGAGCGGGTCGGGGAGGGAAGGTGCTGTAGGGAGCGGTGGAGTGGCGGGTGAGATGGAAATTGACCACAACGATCCCACCCCTGGTGATGCCTCGCATAACAATGGTGACAATGTGGTTCGTTTTAGACTGAGGCGGCTGCAACACGTTCGTCAGCAAAGACAAGTGGCGCCAGAACCAAGAAATATGGATCAGAGGCCAGCGGATGTGGTGGCGGAAGGGATGGGGGCGGACTCAGAGGCAACGGGCCATACAAACCAGTCCCCAGTACCTGGTACGCAAGAATCAATCGTTGTGGATAACCCAGCGGACCACAACGGGGAAACGCTAGATGAACAACAGCATGTGAAGTTGGGGCAAAAGCGACGTCGCCAGTTGAGAAGGTTGCAGATGCAGCAACGACATCAGAGACGGAACCAGCAGCGACAACAGGAACAGCATCAGGAGCGGCAGGGACAGCAGGAGCCGCAGGGACAGCAGGAGCAGCAGGGAGGGCAGCAGCGACAGGGACAGCAGCAGCGGCAGGGACAGCAGCAGCGGCAGGGACAGCAGGAACGGCAGGGACAGCAGGAGCAGCAGGGAGGGCAGCAGCGACAGGGACGGCAGCAGCGACAGGGAGGGCAGCAGCGACAGGGACAGCAGCAGCGGAAGGGACAGCAGGAGCGGCAGGGACAGCAGGAGCGGCAGGGACAGCAGGAGCAGCAGGGAGGGCAGCAGCGGCAGGGACAGCACCAGCGGCAGGGACAGCAGGAGTGAGTGGCAGGGACATCAGCAGCAGCAGCAGGGGCAGCAGATGCTGCTGCTCCTGCAGCAGCTGCTGCAGAATGCGCAGGGTGAAGGGCAGCAGCAGCAGGGAGAGCAGCATGATATGCGTGGCCAGCAACAACAGCAGCATGGTGTTGGGCTACATCTGGAGCAACTGCTCCAAGTATTGCGACAACATACCCAAAACCAAAACCACCAACAGTGGCCTCAATCACAGCACCAGCAGCAAGAGCAACACGAGCATCTGTAAGACAGTCAAAAACAACATAAACGAGGGGAGCAGCAATGACAGGACCAGCAGAAGACAGTGCAGCAAACGCATCAGCAGCGGCAGCAGCAAGAGACACGGTTGTGGCTGCAATCCTCTTTGTCAACCATCTCACACTCCCTGCAACCATCCCTTGCTCTCGCTTCATGCGTCGGGTACCTGCTCCTGTTACCCGCTCCCACTCCCTGTTGTGATCCTGCACTAAAAGAGTGTCGTGTTTTTGTTGTTCCTAATACCAGGCAGGGGAAACATTTGGGTAATTATTACCTTGAATATACCGTATGTAGTTGTATTTGTTCATGGATGTTCATAACTCAAATGTGCAACAATGGAAAGCACAATATTCGGAAAATGAAGCATTGTTGTGTCACATAAATATAACACACACCACCACCTAGTTGCAAACACACCTAGTAGCAAGCTGGGTGTGTGTGTGTGTGCATGTGTGTGTATGTGTGTATGTGTGTGTGTGTGTATGTGTGTGTATGTGTGTGTGTGTGTATGTGTGTGTGTGTTTGTGTGAGTGTGTGTGTGTGTGTGTGTGTGTATGTGGGTGTGTATGTGTGTGTGTGTGTGTGTAAGTGTGTGTGTGTGTGTGTGTTTCAGCGCAAATCACATCGCTTCCTCCACAAACTGTAGTATGCATATCAAGTTGGTTGACATTTGAAATTACGATTTCGAAGTCTGAATTGTACTGCCATATGCTTCATTCGTGCATTAAGAAGATTGAGTACCCTAAACTAATTGCGAGACCCTAAACTCATATTTCAATATTCATATTTCTGAGTATGAAACATAAATTTATCAGCTGTGATATGTGTTGTTGTATCGCCCATGTACAAAATCGCGACTCTGTTATGTGTGACAGAAACCCCTGACGGAAAAAGTCACTCGAAAGATTTGACGGAGAGCTACTCCGTTTTCGTTTCCGTCTGCCTTGATGGCCGTTCCGAAAATCTGGGCGCGAAACAGTAGCCTAGCGGATTTCGGAACAGTGTGGCAGCCGAGCCACCCAGTTTGTGGATTCGATTTTGCAGTGGGGACAAAAATCTGTTGTGCACAGGTGGTCAGATGTCCAGTACAGTAGGTGGCATGGAAATTGTTGACACGTGGGTGAATGTGGGGATTTGCCCTGTCCTGTTTCTATAACTTCCCTGTCTGAGGCACGGAGGGGTGGAAAGTGCCCTCTACTTGCACTGTAGGCCCCCTCGGAGCGCAGGGTCGCTAGTGTAAGCCCTTCCAAAGTTTGTGCAGCATCGATATAGCGTTAATAACCTATTACAACGAAGCAACATGTCGAGATGGCCTAGTTGGTCTAAACCGCTCTGCAAGGACTCTTTGTACATACTGTAAATACTATAATTATTTACCTAGGAATATTGTAAATAGATTATATTCGAATGCCCTGTATGAAGGTTCCAGTCCGAAATGACTTGGGTTCAAAGCCTACTCTAGTAATGTTTTCGCCAATGTGTTGCAGCTGCGGATTATGATGTAGATGGTGACTACCTTAGCGTATATTGTACACTCGAAGCTACCAAGTGGACTCACTGCTGTAGCGAAGCCAGCTTCAGAAGATTCTGTCAGCACCATCCGTTTTTTATTGGATCCCCAGCCACACGTCAGCCTGTCACTCCCCTGTCCATCCAATTAGAGTTAATTCTCCCACGAATCCCAAGGCTGCCCGAGACACCTTTCCTTCTCCACAGGAGGTGCAAATTTTCCTATCCATGGGAACAGAAAAGTGCGTGCGTGGCTGGATAATTATCCACAACAGCAGTTCCCACCACCACCACCTCGCTGCCTTTACCTTTCCACTTCCACCCGGATCAGCCGTCTGCGATTGGTCGATCGGCAAACTGTGCCAGGACGGAGGGAATGAAGATCCCTAGGAGGCTTTTCGAGATGCTCCTAGCCTGCTGCTAGCCGCTAATCTCGAGAGTGAGAATTTCCCTTGGGCTTTCCTTCTGCATTTTCTCTGAGATATCCGGGGATTTCATTCAGTTTCCATCCAGAAAATAGTATTTTCACAAGCGAGTGCGTGGCTCTCTCTTCGCTCGTGTCGTGAAACCTCGTTTCCCTTGCAGATCTCGAAGTCTATTTATTGGTCCTATTTTCCTCCGTCAGTTCAGTGTGAGTTGGTTTTACCTGGCCAGAAATCCATTGTTGGTAGCCTCCGACAATGGAGACGAGCTGCATCTCCAGGTTATCTGCATCAGGACTCTTCCCGAGTCAGTGTCCTGTTCCATCTGCTAACAAAGCGTTAGAGTCGAGAACTCTCAGGACGCAGGCTACGCTACGGAATGTAAGCGTCTCTAAGTTGGCTGGCCCTGCGAGGCCGAATCCAGGTCCACGTGGCATGTCTCCGTCTGCAAAAGGTCACTGTAGGATTATGGCCGTCCAGTCTTCGCCTCTAGATGTCACCGCCAAAGATGCGAGCCCCCCCCAGCCGTTCGGTGCTCTAAGATCAACGGTGGCCACTGCTGTAGCGGCTGTTGTATCTGCTGCTGCGGCATTCCGGGACGCGGCAGAAGCAGTTCCGATAAGCGTACAAGAAGCCGCTCAGCAAAGACACGTGGAGGAGGAACGGTTAGAAACGTCGTTTTTCGACGGCGTGCGAAGCAGAGCGTCACCCTCGCTATTGTCACTCGCTGCCATGTCAGCAGCGCCGCTGGCCATCCCCATCAAGAGCTCTCTGACCGCCTTCTTCTCCAACCTTCGTGCGAACCCCACCTTCATGTCGGCTCTTATTGCGTGGGCTCTCGCGCAAATCCTCAAGGTAAGCCGCAATGTTCGTTAAGCCTTGAAGCTTGGTGAGCCTCAAATATTGTGAAGCCGCGAAGCTCATTGATGCATTATTCAGCAATGTCCATGTTCCCACAAGCTCATGTTTCATGCCGTAATGAATGACACGGAAGAAGGCAGACATTTAAAACGAGTGGTAACAACCTGATTCGTTTCTCCCGCCATAAGTGAAAAATAAAACATTTTTGGCCACCACCTCTCCCTCCCACCTTCTTTTCACCCTTTCCACGTCCGCTCTTTTCCCGGAATCCTTCCATTCCTCCCCATTCACCTGCTCCAGGTGTTCACGAACCTCTACTTCAAAAAGACGTTCGACATCCGAATGGTTGTGTCGTCAGGCGGCATGCCGTCGTCGCACACCGCCCTCTGCGTCGCCGTCACCACCTCCGTTGCCCTGCTGCATGGCGTGGGGGGCCCGCTGTTCCCCATCTGTCTCGCGTTCTCCTCCATTATCATGTACGACGCCACCAACGTACGCTACCACGCCGGCGTGCAAGCAGAGGTACGAGCTTCACTCGATGTGCAAAGTTTACAGCAGCAGAGGTGTGTGTCAGAGGGGTGGGTAGAGTTGCATTGCATGCTCTTTATTGCTGCTGCAGAGCAGACCGCATCTGCCCCGTGTTCTCGCTCATCATAATGTATAACACCAACAACGCGGGTTCTAAGCAGAGGTACGCTCCTTGCTCCTTCACAGCAGACCCTTTATCTGCCCCGCGTTCTCGCTCAGCATTATGTACGACGCCACCAACGTGCGCTACCACGCCGGCGTGCAAGCAGAGGTACGCACTTCAACCAATGTGCAAAATTTACAGCAGCAGAGATGTGTGCCAGGCGGGTGGGTGGTGTTGCATTCCATGCTCTGTATTGCTGCTGCACAGCAGACCCCATCTGCCTCGCGTTCTCGCTCATCATCATGTATAACGCCGACCACGGGGGAGTGCAAGCAGAGGTACGCTTTTTACTGCTGCTGCAGAGCAGAATCAGTACTGTGTAAATATAACCGTACTCAGTGATGTTAACTGACGCAGCAGCAGAGATGGGTGTCAGGTGGGTGGGTGGTGTTGCATGCACCACCGGTATTGTTCCTGCAGGGTGGAGTGACAAAATCACATACGTGAACTCTCAGCAAGACAGAAGGGAATTGAAATCACGTTCCTTATGAAGAGTTGAAGAGTTGGCTTTGGAGATTTCAGCAGATGACCGAAAACTGATCAT